GATCCGTAAGTATTGAGATGCTGTTTCCATTTATTTATGCTTTAAAAGATGCTCTCCCATGCAGTTCCACCAAGTGTCTATTGTTAACCTGTGTCCAACAGCTCAGCCCCCAGTATCCTGACCCTCACCGCAGTGCGGCATCACATGACCGGGCTCATCACCACCGACAAGATCCTAGACGTCACAGTTACTATCAAGTAATGACTCAACACGGTTACGCCAGAGAGCCTGTGTGCTAATATTAGCTGCTGGTCATCCTTCTGCGCATGTCCAGCTCATATGTTTTTCCCCCTCCCTCCCCTCGGTCAGATCATCGATTGAGAGTGAGCCGGCGCTGGTGCTGGGTCCCCTGCGGAGCCTGGAGGAGCAGAGGCAGGAGCAGCAGCTGCAAGAGATTCAGCTGCGCCGTCAGGAACGAGAGCGCCGCGCTGCTGAAGAGGACGGAGGTGCCAGAGACGATAGCCCCCCGATCCAAGAGAAGGCTGACGAGCTGACCGGCCCCTTCCACTACGAGTTCTCCTACTGGGCCAGGTCAGTACTGTACTGCTTTTTTTCCAGTTTGTACTCTTTGGTCAACCCGAAGGCATGAAGTGCAGCAGCTTTTTGTGTCAGCCTACTCTCTCCCTTTACTCTCTGGCTGCACCATTTCTCATTGGGCGAGAGGGAAAACAGAGGGAGTTTCCAATTGGAGCCATCTGGGCCACAGTATCTCGTCAGTTATCCAACACTGTGGGCTGGGACAGCGAGCTCTGTCCTCAAGTGCCTAATTAGGAGTGGGGATAAGTGAGGCAATACACTTGTGTACTAGAGCATGTTCCCCTGTGCCACGCATGAAAAAAAGCAGGTGGGGGTGGAACTTCAAAAGGCGGGGCTGCAGGGGCCGGCCGTAACAACAGGTTTCCCACAACATAAGCCGCCGGCGGATCAACCGACCCAACCCTAGCCAGGGCAGCACGCAGTGTTGCCTGCAGTGGGCGGGAATGTAGCTTCCCTGGGGCTAAATGCAGACTTGAAAATGAGTTTGAAGCTCTCGTTGACATGGCGTCTTCCACATCCTGCCTGAGTGGTGGGTGGGGCAGTTGGAGCCTCACACCAACGGAACCAGAGCTTCTCTGAGCAGATCCAGAGGCTGACCTCACGAAACGATCAGAACCACAAGCAATGTTCACAGCAGCTAGTTAATACCAACTGTGGAGTGAGCTCCTGCTGAACAAACTAACAGTCAAGGCCAGGATGTCCAGATGCAAGCTGTGGGCGAACCACCACACGCGACAGGTGGATAAGATCTCGGCCTGAGTGGAGAGCGTGGAGTCATATCCACTTTGTTTACTGCCACTCGTAGTCAGGAAGGATTTAAACAGAACTCCTATCACTTTGCAACCTTATTATTAGTAATAATGCTGTCATGTCTGTGAGTCTTGCTTAGTCTTGAACCCATGTGATGAGTGAGGTAATATCGATAGTATGACTGTACAGGGCTGGAGAGAAGATCACAGTGACACCCTCATCCAAGGAACTGCTCTTCTACCCTCCTGAGGTAGAGGCCACGATCACTGGAGGTAAGTTCTCACACACACACACACACACACACTGTAGTCTAACAAACCTTCTGTCTATTTGTGTTCCTTGTTAAAGCTGCTTCCTAAGTCTTGTATTCTTGAGAAAAGTGCGTGCATGCGTTGCCCCAGCTTCAAACTGTATGGGTGGAGAAAGAACAGATAAATAACCTCTTACCTCTATGACCTAAAAAGTAAGTACACTGTCTCGACAGAGTCGTGTCCGGGTCGGCTGGTGGACATCGCAGGTCGCGCAGGTCTCTTCCTGGAGGGCAAGGTGACACCAGAGCTACAGGGTGTTGAGATCTCCATCACTGAGAGAGGAGCTGCTGCTCCACTCATTACTGTGGCCACTAATGAGATGGGAGCATACAGGTATGAGAACCACAGTCTTTGTGCAATCTGTGTAATATTTACTGTACTATTATCTGTTATGATAACATGTGTATCATTTAGGTTTGTATGTGGGAGAGTATTGTGATCACATGACACACAGTACACAATAAGCCTCCTGTCTGC